AAAGATTACATCATATTTTTTTTTATTTTAAGGAAAGTCCATCGACCCATCCTTCTATGTAGAATAATATATTTTAAGAGCCAGCCTATATTAATTATAATCTTAACAATTAATATTACTTGCTTACATGCAAATATCATGTTTATTTTATATAAATTGTATTATTTTTTATGCAATGCAAGTCAATATCATTTATGAAATACATTAATCTATGAAATTCAAAAAAGTCTAATATATATATTATACATTAGCTTCAAAAAATTATAATTTCTAATTTAACCAATGAAATTCAATAATATTACGAAACAATGCTCATACTCATACAATGTATATTTATCATATACAAAAAAGTTAATTACACTGTGAAAGTGTGAAGGAAAATTATTTTTGACAAATTCAGAAGAAATAAAATCCTTATAAATCAAAATCATGAAAAATAAGAGTAAGAGTACAACTACTTACAACAAGCATAACAATTTTCATAGCAAGAACAACGAACATAAATGCTCAGAAGTGCTTCCTCTCTCTCTCTCTCTCTCTCTCTCTCTCTCTCTCTGCCTTTCTCTTATTCTCCTTCCATTCCTTCTCGACCAAGTAAAAAGAATAAGGGGGTACAAGGTGGCAGGGTTATTTAATGTAAAAATATTAAAAAAATTATATTTAGTGTTCAACACTGCAACACTGCTTGTCACCCTCAGAGTTACTATAGAATAAAATCTTTAATGCCATTTTGGCATTTTTTAACGCCACAGTGCTACCTGCTTATAGGTCATATTTTTATATTTTTAAATAAATTTATTTAAACTTTTAGGTTATTATAGGGAGAGATGGGAAATATTTATGCACAACGTAGGGTAAGCCTAATAACTTACGGTTTCACGAGCACTCTGCTAGGGTTTTGCACTAACCATCTCCCCTCATCAGAGGGGTTCGTCTTCTGGTCGCCGACTGCCTCTGTCACTTAGGGAATTTTTCTCTTATCTTAATGATTATTCTTCTCCTCTCCATTTTTATGTTTTCAACTTTCATGGCTAGCACTATTTTTTTTTTTTAATTTTCTTGATCTTTTCAAATGAGGGTTAATCATGTAAAATTGGTCAATCCTGAATTTTAAATGATAAATCTAATTCCAGATCATTTCTTGATGATCTCTCAGGGGCTTCCTCTTTGCTACCTTTTCTGGCATGGATCTCAAAATTTTTACTTTTTGAGAGTTATTGTCACTTAGATTTCAAAAGATGAGATTCTAGCTCTTGCAGTCCTTTTTTATTCTCTTTGGTTGGAAAGTTTCCTAATTGAAGGCTAGCTCTGGATTCAATTAGAAAATTCTTCTTTAATCTAAAACTTTTTGGTGAGTTCTCAATTATTCTATTGAATCCAAGGCATGTATTGATAAAATTAAATAACAATATGTATTATTACAGAGTTTTTGCTCATCGTTCATATTTTGTTAGTGATTATTTCATAAAATTGATTAAATGTTTGTTTTTCTCCGATATGTTTAACGAATCGCCCATTATTCTAATTGAATTTCCTTCCCAAATATTTGGCCGCATTTGTTCGCTCCCCATGTCCTACACAGGCTTGGTTCGCTATTTGGTCATCCCTACGTACTAATAATGCTACTTCAATTGGATCTCGTCCCTCGGTTGCTCGAGTGTTGGTGAAATTGGATATCACTAAACGATATCCTTAATTATAGTGTCTGGGTTGTGCCTGAAAATTTTGGATATATTCAAAATATTATGATGGAAGAATTTACTTCCTTTTGTGTTAGCCTTCATCGTTCCTCATTTAGCTATGGAACCCCACTATTATCCATAAACCGGTGACATCTGTGTCTAAGGAAACCTCTTGGTTAGCTCATGTTGTTGATGCCCATCCCTCATGTTGTTGATGCCCATCCCTCGTCTACCTCTCCTATTAGTGAAAATATTGTAGATGTTGATTATGTTATGGTTGTTTATCTTACTTTAGTTCCAATTTCTATTAATCCTGATGTGTTGTTAAACTTGGTTACAAGTGTGGATGATGTTGGGGATCATATTATTGAACAAGAAAAGCATTATGATCTTATGAATGGATATGCTTATTTTAATATTTCTAATAAGCAGCCTATTATTAATTTTTCATGTTCTCCTTTATCTGATGATGCCTTGGTCTCTTTATGATTGGAGAAGCAACATTTAAATGGCTCTTCTGCTGGCATTTCTGTTGACAATATTGACTGGTTGTATGATATGTTGAGTGTTGTGATGAACGTTGGGTAAGTAAACATTGTTAATTGTCATGATTTGCAAGTGGATGTTAATTTGGATGTGGTGTAAGTTGATGACGAGGGATTTACTGCATGTTATGTCTAGTAAAAAAAATCCAAAGGTTAAAAGGTTGTGCAGAACCTTAAATATATTAATTGTTTCTAACTCTACTCATTCTAAAACTCCCCTTGACCCTTCTCTGAACGTTTAGTTCCTTTTGGTTTTTTTTTTTTTTTTGGATGTGGTGTTTTTGTTTTTCATGAGTTGGTTGGTTATTTTTTTATTGATGTGGCCTGGGTTCTCTGGTCTTTATGGCCTTTTTGGGGTCTTTGGCTTTAGGGTTTAGTTCTTGGGCTTTTTTCATGTTGGTGGTTACACCTGTGTTTTGGCTTGGGTGGTGAGTGACTATTTTGATCCCTGTTGTGTGGGGTTGGCTTGTTTGGTGTTGATGATTATTCCTGGTTTATGAATTAGGCTGTGAGTGGTTGTCCTGTTCCCTGTTGTGTGGGGTTGGCTAGTGGTGGGGTGGTGTTTCTTATCTTGTAGTTTTTGCTGGATGGAGGTTTTGGCTAACTAGCTCTTGTGATTGTGCCACTTTTTGGCTCCCATGCAGGTAATGTATGTCATTTTTTTCTCTTTAGTGTTATTTGTTTGGTTCATTCAATTTTAATACTTCATAGGATATGTGCATACATATTCGAGATGCACAAGGTTAAATATCTGCATGAGAGGATCCCTCAGGTGGATCAACTCAAGAAGGGAACTTTAATTTATAAATCCAAGCAACATGAATAGGGTTGTAATCGAGCTGAGTTGATTTGTACTTTGCTTGCTCATAAATCAAACTTGCCTTGGTCATAATATATGTTGTTCAAGTTCAGCACGAGCTTGAGCCAAGCCTTCACATATATATTCATACTTGGATTATTTTGAATTTTTATATGATTATGTTTGGCTTGTACTTGACTTGCTCAAATAAATTGGATGAGCACTTCATTGAGTTAAAAGATAAGAACATAAATGAACAAATATTAAATGAATTTTCCTGTGATAATCATATTAATAAATAATTTTATAGGTCTAAATAAATAAATGATTTAATAAATCTAGAATGAGAATATAATAGGGCTACAAGCGAACCAAACGTTCGACCAGCTACTTGTTGCTCTGTTATATTAAAGCTCATTTGTGATCATTTAACTAACTAAACAAACCAATTTGAACAACTTTTTTAATATTCGATCCTTAAATAAACAAGCTTGAACACTAGTGTGTTTGGTTCATTTATGTTCACGAATAACATCATTTGAAGTTTATGAACAAGCTCAACATTAAGCTCGATAAGAAGCTCGATGAAAGTTCGATTCATGTTCGATTTAGAACTTGTGAATAAGCTCGATAAATATATTCATATAGATTAATCATATTTTTATTTTAAATAGACAACTACTTTTATTATAAATTTAATTTCATTTTATTTTATACATTCAATAGAATGAATATGTTCATGAACAATAAATATTTCACATTTGTCAATGTTTGCTAGATTGTTTGTTTAAGATGTTCATGAACAAAATATAAGATAAATCATAGATCATTTGTTCGTGAACGAATTCATTTGGTAGCTCGAAAATACTAGTTATGTATTTATTCATGATCTTAATTTCTCATTTGATAGCTCAAGAATACTCATTAGAATTGTTCATGAACCTGCTTGTTTGATAATGTAAAAAAATTGCTAAATATGTTCACGAACATAGTGTTTGAAGGCTTGTTTATTTAAAGTTTGATATATAAACACTAATTAACGAACCAAACATGAACCGAACATGAACTAAACATTAACACCATTAATTTAAATAAATCAAACATGAGCAAAAACAATAAGGTTCGAATCAAACACGAATCGAACTTGAACAAGCTAATAATAAACAAACTCAAACATGAACACTCACATACTCGGTCCGATTCGGTTCGTTTGCAGCCCTAGTATATAACGCTTTGAAACTAATTAAACTTGAAAATAATATAAGTGAAAGAGAAATAAATATTAAAAGTATAAAAGTTATGAAGAGGATATTAGTGCGCAAATATTAGAACTAAAAAAGAGCATGAAGTATATATATGAATTGTAGATATGATGACGTGTTAGAGAAGTTGTGTTAGGGGCTAAGATGATAGGCTATACAATTAATTAATAAAACATTTAAAAAAAAAGTAAAAAAAAGCATGTAGACGTACTAGGTACATAAAGTAATTACAACTCAAAATTTTCTTTATAAAATGAAATCTCATAACAAATTGAAGAAATATATTCTCCTATTTACAAATAAACTTAGATTTCATTTGATTCAACTTAATGATATGATGATATAGAATAATAATAGCTTATATGAATAGAATACTTACTATATTTAATTTCTCCATTTAAATGGATTTTTTTCCTTTCTATCTCATATTGTTCTATTAATTATATATCATTTTTGGACTTTTCCTTTTTGGCTATGGTTCTCAGCTTATTTTTTTGCTAAACTACGCTTGATTTGATTCTCCATTTAAATGTATGCATGCATCTTCTCTTCGGACATTGAGAAGTCCAATAATTTGTGATTTTAATTTTAATTAATGAAGAAAAACTTAATTTTTTTATGATGAATTTATAGTGCTACATAAAATATATAAAAATACAGTTCACTTAATAACCTTCATATACATAAATCATTAAAAAATGCACCAATAAAATAAGCAAATTTAAATAGGTTTTTTTATAGTAAAAATTAAAGAGGGGAAAAAATACAATTGAAGCTTTCTCTTCTCTACTTTACTCTTTGTTGGGAAATATAAAGCAAAGCACGTGCACATGCAATAGAATTAAGGACCCCAGCACTTTTGTGCTTTTTGACTGAAAAAGAAGATACCCTCTCTCTGACTCTCCTCTCTCTCTCTCTCTCTCTCTCTCTCTCTCTCTCTCTCTCTCTCTCTCTCTCTCATTTTGCATCTAAAAACAGACAGATTCATAGAACATAGCCTTTTGGCACTTCCAACTTTGTTCTGCTTTGCTAATATTTAATTTTCCCCTTTCTCTCTCTCTCCTCTCTCTGATCAGTTGCTTTAGCTATAATAATGGCTTCCATGTTCATCCTTTTTCTTCAACTTTTGATGCAAAAGCTGATAGAATGAGCTGGGACCTCTTCAGTTCTGATCATTTTATACCATTTCCAACTCATAATCAATGAGGCCTCCCTAAGGTGAACTCAAGATTGGGTTTCTTTGAGCTGGTGTCTGAGATGCAGGAAGAGTTGAAGTCTGATATCATCTCAAAGCTTCTTGATTGCATCTCACTCTGTCACACAATTAGTACAATACCATTACTTCTTCACATAACTTTTCAATGCAGATTTATAAATTTCAGTAACTTTATTTAGCCTCAAATCATCATGAAATGGATAAAAGTGTGCTAATTTTCTATTATAATTTTGAAGAAAAGTGATAAGAAACAACAGTACTGAATCATATTTTTTGAAATAAAATATGATAACTTAGGATTAGCAGCTTGAAGTTGGTAGGTACCTCAAGGGAAGACATGCTTCCTGTGCTGGATTCCTTCTGCTTCTCATGAAACAACCCTCCTCTGACCAGATGTCACGCAGGTAGTGTGCATTTCAACAAATTGAGATCAGTTTATCAAAAAATGGTGGAAAAGAAGGAGAAAAAAAGGAAGATGTAATGGAAGAAAGTAAAAGGACCATCTTTCACTATTAACTTGTAGTAATCTAGCAGCCTTATGAGATATGATGATTGAAATAAAGTTACAATCCCATGTGATCAGCCATTACTGATCTCAATTAGGGGGAAACTGCTAGGAAATATCAAAAGGATCACCTAGCTTTTGCACCAAAGTCTCTGAGCTCCTGACAATGGCGCTTTTGCAAGCTTTTGGTCCACAAATCTTCAGAAGAAATGTTATATATATAAATCATCTTTTGATATTAAGTTAACCAATTAAAATTCTTCCTTAGCATGGGAAGATAGGGAATGTAGCAATGCTCAATCTTCAAATGAGAGAGAAGGAAAGGAAGTACCTTTTTATAAATATTTAAAAGTGGGGTTGTTTATTGTAGTTGGAGATGACCTAGCTAGAAGGTGTATATTTTATAATACTAGCTAGGAGAGATCATTGCACTATCATGGAGGTGCAATGACCACGTGATCTTATGCAAATGGAACAATGCTATGATCTCTCTTGCTTTTGGTGAGCACTTCCATGTATATAACTTTATGTGAAAGATTTGTTCTTTATATCATTAGGTCAATCAATTATCAATATATCTATATTATTGTTCATCATTTTTCGTGTATCATATATATAAATTTATATTTTATATTTGGCATGTTATATGAAATAATATAATGTGAAATATTGTCTTGGTGAGAAGGGAATGTGAAGAAGAGGGAGGTATTTATGTTTGTAATATTATTGCTTTATTCAAGCTGTTTTAATTGAAATAATGATATAATAGCTATATTGCCTTTTATTATATATGTTTGTAAATCCATTTTATCTTGATATTCAATTTGGTAATTGAGATTAGAAGAATTGATTATTTGTAAACAATTAACTCCACATGCATTATAGTGCTCCTTAGGATTTGGGGTTTAACATTTCTCTTAGTTCTCTTAACTCTTCTATTTGTATAGCTTTACTAAAACAATCTAACTAATAATTAATGCATATTAGGGTTTGTTTGACATAGCTTTCTTGCTGCTTACTAAAGCAGCTTTCTAGTTCAAAAAAAATTTATTCTATAAAATTTGTATGTTAAAAATTGCCTTAAAACAGTAAGAAAGTTGTCACAAACAAAGCATTACTCATATTGTTTAAAAAATATGGCAATAATTCAAATTTGTTGTAGTTGCACTGATTTCTAAATGCACAATTCCCAAAATGGTTGAAGATTGGCTACTCTTATAATGTGGGAAAAAATTAGCTTTGATGCAAGACCCTTCAATTTTGGCTACAAGGTATTTTTATTGGGTTTCATGGCATGGCTTTTGCTTAGCATGACAACAATTAATAAAGGTTTTTATACAAGAAAAATATTGTATTGCTTGCAAAGTAGAAAAAAAAAATATTTTCTTATAACTTTATATATATTTAGAGATAAATATTACTTTCGAATTATGTGAACAACTAAAATAGTGTTAGAAATAATCCTTCTATATCCCAAACTAACAAGAAATGAAATTTTAGTCGCAAAACAAATAAAGTTTACATCATTTTGCTATGATTGAACAAAACATATATATCCTATACACCTTCTCTAATATCATAAATGAAATTAACAAGCTAATTAATTAGCAATTAGATCCCAAAGACATGTTATCTAAACCTACATTTTAATTACCAAAACATAAATAAGGAAAGATAATTAACAACCACTAATTACATAACTAAAGCAATTTTCAACACAAATAATTTTTTTTTGAGACATTTAGGTCAATTAAGACAAATTCACACGCACATCATCACATACGTAAGACTCGAATTCAATACATCTTTATTGATTGCCAAAACTCTCAATCAATAAACTAAGATGAGCTGCGAAGCTCAAAGAAATTAAGAACTGATTTCCCAGTTTTGTATTTATAGTCAAAGTTGAGAAGAATACTTAATTACCTTGAAGAGTTACTCCACAAACCATAAGAATGAATTCCATTTTGTCCTGTTGGCCTTCCATTCTGAACTGAAGATTCAGATCCTCGGACAACGTTATTTAAATCGAGCAAGTTGTCATCAAAGATCTCAATGGGCTCATTTTCATGACCTATTATAATTATTCACAAAAATCATAAAAGAAATATTGTGATTAAAACTAACTGGAAGTATCTTTGATTAATTAATTATATGTTTTTCTCTTAAGCCATTTTTAAGAGTGTAATTATAATCAGTGTGATTGAATATAATTACATTTCATAGAAAAATGTAATTAAAACCTTTAATCACACAATAATCATAATATTTTAAAAGAAGTCTTCGTATGTAAGATCAAAAGTGTGACAAAAGATGTTGATTTTAGCCTTAGTTTTGAAGCATTTTTTGCTTAAATTTAGTATTAATTAATCATATTTTTAAATATTTTTAGCTCAAATTTGTAAAAATACTAATTTATAGTTAAACATTATGGCAAATTTTGATTAAAAAATTAATTTCAAATTTTTTTAAAAAAATTATGATTGCAATAATATACTTATTATCTTTTTTTAACCTTGCAGTCATATTATTTTATATGACTGAAGATTTTAGTTAAACTTTTTTCATGTAAATAGGAGGACTAAGGCATCATTTGGGACGATTTTATTATTGCTTCTTAAAGCAGTTTTTTAGTTAAAAATTTTTAATTTTTGTATTGAAAATTTTTTTAAGAAACAATAAAAAACCCGTCTTAAATGGAGCCTAAGAAATTAAGAACATACAACATTTTTTCATCGTATAAGCATCTGTAAGAGGCACAGTTAAAACAATGCGATTTGAAGATACAAATTCAAGTGACTAAAATATATTTTTTAGTCATGCTTCTTATAAACTTTACTAATAATCAGTATTACTTACAGATCAAATTTTAATTTCTGCTATTTTGATATTTGTAGATTTTTCAGAAAAAAATACCTGGAGATGCAGCCTTATCAGTGGTTTTCACAGTCCGATACATCTGCAACCATGAACCATTGAACTGAAATAATTAGTACAAATTGCTGCAGTATGATAAAATTTATGACAAACACACAAGGATTATAAATTAAATATTGTAGATTCGATTTTTTTAAGATTAAAACTAGCCGTTGTACTGTACGTGTTATATACACTACATGTTTCAAATCTTAACCTATAAAAAGTATAAAAGTATGGGTACACAGCTTTTCTTGCATTTATTGTAACACCAGATGTAAGTATAGATGGATGTATGATGAAATAATTACTAGGAAATGATGGTGCATTAGCCTTTTTCTATCTTCGATCTCCTTACTTAATGGCTACCTTGGTGCTTCACAAACAAAATTTTGACTCTCAGAACACAGAAATCTAATTTATAATTAGGAGCAGAGAGAGAATGAGAGAGAGAGAGAGAGAGAGGCTAAGCAGGAGGGGCTTATTGAAACAAGATATATAAAATGAATCCAAAGGAAAAATTGTAAGGAAAATGGAAACAAAAGCTAGCTCAACATATCTATGAACAAAATGCAATCTTTCTAATTATTCCATTTTCAATAACAAGAAAGATTCAACCTTTACAGAAAACTTGCATAGATTGGATAAGAAAAAAGAGGGCAAACTGAGCAAGACCGAGGAAAATAAAAAGGGAAGATAAGAACAAGCACATCAACAGTAGAAAAAGCTGATGAAAAAAAGACAAATTGCTAGGATTCATAAAGGAGAGAAGAAGACAAGCTTATCACTTTACCTGTAAGTGGGATTTCACATGAGCCAAGGTGAGATCTTTCACATCCATGAGCTCAAGAACTGACTTGGGGGTCGCCCCTAAGATCCAAAAGCATATAAAAAAATCAACAAAAATCGGCAACTTCAATTTTTTTAGCTGGAGAGATAGCAAAAGGTGTGATTTTTTACTCTCGTGGCCACCGAGGAGCTCGACGGCATGGACAAAGCGGGCGTGGAGTGTGGAGGTCCAGCGCATCCGGGGAGCTCTCATGCTGCGCTTTGTGGGAAACCGAGGAAGAAATCTTGAGGATGATGACAAAGCTGCTGACCTAGATAAGGCGGCTAAAGGGTTATTGGAAGCCGCCATCGTGGTTGAGGGAGAGTTGTACGAGTGGTAATGGCGAGGAGGGAAAGGAAAGGAAGGGGGGCAGTGGTAGACGGGGATGCCACTGATTGGAGGAAGTGAGGGTTCATGGAGGAAGGTTGGGTGTTGGTGGTGGTGGTGGTAGTGGAGGTGGTGATTAGAGTGGTGGGGAAAAGAGGGGTTTGAGAGGGAGAGATCGGCAGCATCGATGGAGAAGGAGGAGGAAGATGAGGAGGGGGGATTGGATGGTGGAAGAGGAGTGGCGGTGGAGTTGGAATTGAGGGCTCTTCTCCAAAACCCTAAGTTGATGGTATCTTCTGCTGTGGCGCTCCAGCCAGCTGAGCTTGGCTTGGTGTTGTTTGGAGGACTTATTTGGAGTGATAGGTCTGGTTGTGCTGGAAAGAGCTCCATTTTTGTATTTGGGTTTGATAAAGCCAAAAAAGCAGTAGAGAGGATGAGTTCTGTTTGAGCTGTTTCTCGGATCTCTCTCTCTCTCTCTTTCTCCCTCGCGCGAACTCTCTTTTTCTTTCCTTTTTTTCTTCTAATTTTCTTTCTTTCTTTCTTTCTTCTTCTTCGATCTCTCTCTCTCTCTCTCCTTCCTGATTTTCTCTTAACTCCTTAATCTTCTTATCCTTCTCCTCCTACTCCTTGACTGTAGCACTTCTTCTTCTCTTTCTCCTTGTTTGTAGGGCTTCTTCTTCTTCTTCTTGTGGATGATAAATATTATAGAAAGGAGAAAGTTGTGTGGTTGGAAGAAGAATGGAGGAGATTTTAGGCGGTACCAGACATGGCGTTATGTATAGAGGCAAGAAGAAGTGGAGGAGTAAAAGCACCTTGAGGTATTGAATGAAAATAATTTCTTGCTCCCATATGTAAATATGAGAAAATGACACTTTTCGCACTGTGTGTGTGCTCGAGATGGATAGATTGATAGATAGAAAGAGAGAGGAAGAGAGGGAGAGAGGAAATAAGGTAGCTCCCTTTCACATCTTTTACATATCTGTTCTTTAGAGGTAGAGTGGTTTTTGTTTTTTAGATAAAGGAAAAGTAATATTATTAGTGAAAGTTTTTTTAGCTTGCTTGGGGTTGATTAATGACTATCTAATTCAAATAAAAAAGAATTGTTGCTATGTGCTCAACTACTTTTGGATAGCTAGCACCAATTATTCATTCAATTGAAACTTTTTTTAAAAAATTTTAACCTTTAGGAATTAAATTTCTTAGTTTGGTAGGTTGTGTGCTATCACATCACTTAATCCCTCTATGTTCTTGGATTTGACCTCCAAAACCTTCTTTTTTTTTTCTTTATAGGCCATGTTATTTCTCCCCCCTTCCTTTCCTTTCATTTGCTTTAATTTTCTCTATCTTTTCCCATGTCTTCATGCATGGTTGGAATGAAAAGTAGAGAGCCCACTTTTCTATGTCCACATGAACATTTAATTTTTGCCATGTTAGGTCTATGTCAAGTTCATTGGTGATGAGGGAACATATGTCTTTTATCATTGAATTTCTCACATTTCATATCAACTCAAGTAAAATTGCACATCAAAGGGAAACTTCAATTTTCTAAAAAATAATTTAGAACTTTAGCTTTATATATGCTCTATGTATGCTTTATACTTTAATTTTTAGTAAAAAGATTTACAACTACAAATTTCATATATTTCTAATATTTACCCTATTATATATATCCACTACTATTTTCTTAACTTTTTGTATAACTATAAAATTATGAATAGTATTTATTTTTTTCTCTCTCTCCCAAAAAGAGAGAAAATAGTTACTATTCTTAATTATATATATAATACTAAGAGAAATTCTAAGAGAATCGCATCCATAGTGGATATATATGTTTTGCTTTATTCACTTCTTAATTTTTAGATAGAGGTGTAATAGGGTCTTGAATGAGCAAATTAAGAGGACTCCTATTTGTGCTTGTTTAAAAAGTAGGCAACATTAAAACATTTGTATTAGATTTCGTTTGGGACGGCCTTCTTATTACTTTTTAAAGCTTTTTTTTGTACAAAAATTTTTAAAACTAAAAATTTTTATACAAGAAATTGATTTTTGAAAGCATTAAGAAAATTGCCCCAAACGAAACTTTAATTTATAGTGAAAATAAGAAATTGAGAAAATTTTTTTTTTTTTCTATCTTGTTATGCAAGCACTGCAACAATTATTAATTTCACATTCTTGCAAGGCTTTGGATTAATGGGCAGTATTAATTTGTGCCATTTCAAATAAGAAAATGTTCAGACATTAATTCTATACATGGAATTGATGAACAGACCAATTAAAACTATTTGGGAACAACTTATTAATTAAGTCATATAAATACACTATAGCACAAAATCCTAACAATGGCCATAATATATTACCATTTCTTCTATGCATCAAGACCTTTAGTACTCGTTTATCATTCATCATCATTCATATCTCAACAATTTGGAATTTTATCAATCATTCTTCTCCACTTTTTTTTTATTGAGTAATATAATTATTATTTTTATTTCATAATGATTTTATCTACTTGTTTTATTCATGCATCCATTCATTATTATACAATATCATGATCAAATAACTAAAGTGCATATATTTTCAACTTATTTATATGTTGGTTAGTTGGTATAAGCACGTCTATACATCAAAAATAAAAGAGATCAATTAAAAATATAAAAAATTAGAATATTTTCAATAATGAGAATTTTTTTTTTGTTAAAACCCGCAGTGGGGCCTACGCGTTGATATTAAAAAAACGGTTACAGAGTCCTTAGAAGGAACCTCCAGCTCGCTACTGCTCGAAAGAGCTGCAAGAGAAAAAGAAAACAAAGTTCCTAAGAGCCGGTGGTTCCTTTTACTAAGATTACAAAAAGGAATGAAATAAACACTCGGGCTGTGAGTAGACAGCACCCAAAAAAGGAAGATCGAAATATAATCTTTCAGCATAGATCTCCTACAAAACTGAAAACAAAAATAGAGAAAAACAAGTGTGAAAAATAAAAGGAAAAAACCTTGCAGTCATTGAGGCTCAAAAGCAAAAGGATCATAAAGTACCTGCAAAGAATTCTCCCAAAAAAGTTGTGATACAAAAGGTAGAAACGATAAAATAACCCCCCACAAATCTCTTTGTTGTAACAAAACTTAAAACATTCATAATAGCACCTTAGAAAGGCATACAGGAAGCAAAATAACACATTCAATATCAAAATAGCCTTACCAGCCACCATACCAATATCATAAGTAGTCCAGTAAAACATCTTACAGCATTCCTGGCAGACATCATTCCAACAAAGCCTTTCATGCCAAGATTTAGTAGTAAAAACAAGTTCAAGTAAATACCTACCAGCTATGATATCAGAATTCCCAGGCGAATAAGGCACGGCCATAAAAGACAGGTAATTCACATAGATATAGACCTAGAAATTAATGTGTCAACCAAAGACTTGTTGCCACCAACTATACAAATCTAACTTGAAAACCCAGCTGAAATTGGTGCACAAACCAGCCCAGCAAAAGGAAGAAAAACAGGACCCGGAGAGCTCCAGAAAAATAGAAACAGCACATAGATAAACACCCTCCCAAAAACAGAAAAACTCAAACATTCCGAATGTAAGACATACCAGCTTTATCAAAGAGAACCATACCTTTCAAAATAGGATTTAACATGCTAATATCCAAATCTTCATAATTGGGTAAATAACAGTCTTTTTTGGCTAACCAATCAGCACAAACGTTAGCCTCCCGATAAATGTGAGAAATAGAAAAGTTCATAAAGGAAAAGTAATGTTTAATCTCCCTAATTAAATAAAAATTTTGAGGATTACTAGGAATAACATCATTTATAATCTGAATAAGAAGCATAGCATCCACCTCAATCCAAACATTCGTGAAACCCCTCTTGATGCAAATGTTTAGACCGTAATTTAAAGCCATAAGCTCAGTTGTAATTACATTACAAAGATGAACAGGGGCAGCAAAAGAAACCAGAACAAAACCAGAGTGGTCTCGAATGAGACCATTAGCACCCGCATAATTATTATCAACAGAATCATCCGAATTAAGCTTCACAAAAGGAGGCTTGGGTTTAATCCATTTGACAGTTCTCTCAATAGAGACAACATTACCACTATTGACAGTAATACCAAAAGAAGTAATCAGATGCTTGCAATGTTTAAAGTTTTGAGAAGTAATAATATTGTAAGAGAAAGCTTGCAAAACTTTAAAACGAATGTTAGAAATAATCTAGGAAGCCTCCATCTTAATAGCATTGTGCTTCGCATCATTTCTTGCATTCCAAATATACCAAAATATAAGAATAGCAATGAAATTAAAGATATGGCATTTAAAAGCATTAGCCCAAAGCTCCAGAACCGACGTAACATTGTTATGATTAAGGTTAAAGTTAATTTTGGCAAGATTACTAAAATAAATCCAAACTTCCTAGGCAATAGCACCATTCACAAAAAGGTGATCAATACTCTCCACATTGGAACAACACAAACTTTTCGACGGCATAGAAAAGCCCTTTTTTGAAGCATAACATCAACTGGTATAAAGCCTTTAATACAGCTCCAGAGAAGAATAGAATATGATAAGGGAAAGTTCTTGTGCTAAAAAATAGAATGGATCAACTTAATATCCTTCTTAATTCTAATAGTATTCCAAACATCCTTTAAATGAAAATTACCAGAAGAAGATATGTTAAAAAGCAATTTGTCTTTACAATTAACATTTAAAGGGATTTTCAAAATAGCCTCAACAATGATAGCAGGTATGAAATCTCTAAGCTTAAAAACGTCCCAAAAGTTTTCATTAATGAAATTAGAGACTCTAATATTGACAGTAGAATGTGTATTAAGAAGAGCATCAATAGAAGAGGAGCCTAACCAGTTATCTTGCCAAAAATAAATGTCACCTTACCCAAACCCCACTGAATAAATTGTTCAGCCTCCCATTTAATGTTGCAAAGCCTTTTCCAAACCATAGAATCACCATTTTTGTAAAAGCATAAGGAAGGATGCACGTTATTGCAATATTTAACATTCATGTAACGGGCCCA